CGCCGAACTTCCGCCTGGGGAGGCGACCTCGTTTTACCTCCGCCGCCTTCCGCCGGGGAAGAGACGACAACTCCGTCGATCCCCGAAGGCGAGGCCCTTTCTGGAAGCCCCAAAATATCGGCGATGGGGGGTCAATTCATCCCCCCCCCCTATGCCTCTCCCCCCCCCCCTGTCGCCGGTCGTTGCCCCAGACAGGCCGCGAGCAGCGGAGCGTGGCTGGTCTCCGGGGGCCTCTCGCGGTCGAGCTCGAGGGGGTCGGGGGGACGGGGCGGGAGGAGGAGCAAGGCCGGAAGGAGGGCGAGCAGACGGGGGAGGTCGAGATTGACTGCACGCCACCGAGGCCCCGAGATCCTGGCGCCTCAACTTTTTCGAGCCAGGCGGTCTCGCCTGTCTTCGAGCCCCAGGGCTCTCGCAGGTGGATCCAGCTCGAGACATCGCGCAGAACGATGGGGTCGAGGGATCTGGGCGTGACTTTTTGGGCTGCTGCGGTCGTTTCGATACATCGGATCTCAGGGGGGGCGAGAGCGGGGGGAGAGTCGCCAAACACCCAGGGTTGGGTCGGGCATGTCCCCCTGCAGGCGGATTTGGCACGAAACATAAACAATACACCAAAAGTGTCAAAAAACGACGTACACATGGTCAACAAATCCTCCCCATGCCATGTTTTGGCTATTTTGAAAGATCCCCCCAGTCGAGGGACAGGCCCGACTTAAACCCAGGGGGGTTCATCAGAGAGCACCTCTTTGTCACTGTGCGTCGGCTTTCCCTAGCCACCCGCGGGCCAGCGCCGGGATCCACCAAAGAAACAAGAATGGAGGTCGAGGAGGAGGGGTGCGGGGATGGCGGAACAGGAGGGGAGATCGCATGCAGAGGGGGAACGGTGGGGCAGCCAAGAGGAGGAGAAGGAGAAGGAGGACGACGACGATGACGACGACGCCATGAAGAAGGGGTATGAGGATGGAGACGAGGAAGGGAAGGGAGAAGAAGGTGCAGGAAGAGCAAACGTAGACTGTCTGCGAGTAGCTCCTTTTAGGCGCTGAAGATGAGTTTGTCCGCGATCATCAGCACCTGCCCTCCTTCACGGAGGAGCGCAACGACGAAGCCTATTGTTACAACAGACAACCAGAGGACCGAACTGTGACCCTCGCCCTTGCTGCCAAGACATCTGGCGGCTCGAACAATTCGATACGATCGTGTTCATTATGTATGTGTATATTTAAGTTTGCCCGCGTGTGTGTATATATATACACATTTATACATCGGTGTAGACGTATACAGATATGTGAATTCAAATTCTCGGCTTATGATGCCCAAATCGGGCCCGAGACCACCAACAAAACGACTCAGCATGGAAAACCAGTCCTCGGGAAAGGTTGTCGAGAGCTCCGGCGGGCTCATGACAAAGAATACATTCGAGCTGCGGGATGTCTGGTGGCCAAGCCAAACCGAGTTAAACCAACACACGCGCTGTCCTCTGTCATCCCCGCTGAATGGCCTGGCGCGGTCCCAATTGGTGGTGTGCGGCCCCACTGTTGGAGGACGGGGAGAAGACAAACTCCGTACAAACATAACGGCAAGCTTGCGCCTGGAAGGGGGTCAAGCATCACTGACAAGTGGAGTGCGCTGTCACGTGCAACAGCATTGCTCTGACTTGATTGCAACCCGCCCTCTGGGCGTAGGTGGTTTAACGAACTTGGTTTTCTCTCTGCCAAAGCTCCCTCCTTCTCGTGCTCGGGGGAGAATTTACCCCTCTCCCTATACCCTCCCCCGGGGCGTGGGAGGAGGGGGAGGGGCGCGGGTAGTTAGAGCGCCCAAGATGGCCCACGAGGGCTCCAAGCGAGCCTCAAAGAGCCCAAGATTGCCTCGAATATGGTTCCAGATACCTCAAGGTGGTCCAAGATAGCCTCCGACACATATCCAAGAGGCCTCAAGACGGCCCCAAGACGGTTTCAAGTGCCCTCCGAACCATCCAATGACCCAATGTTGTTTGCCGTCTCATCTGTTCTTTTCGCTTCCGACGGGCTCTCGAGGCCTCAAGATGGCCCCAAGATGGCCCAAGGGAGCCCAAAGCAGAGCGGGGCCCAAGAGGGCCCCAAGAGCGACAAGAGCGCCCAGACATATTTGTTGAGCCTCCGATGGGGGGGACCTGAATTCATCCGCCCCCTCTTTTCATGGGCTTAAGACGGCCCCAGGAGGCCTCCCAGACCCCCCACAGAGTCCCAAGAGGGCCCCAAGAAAGACCCAAGAGAGCTCCAAGAGTGCCCCAAGAGGCTCCGCAAGGACCCTCAGAGAGCTCCAAGATGGCTTCAAGAGACCTCAGAGAAAACGCTTCCAAAGCGGTTGTCGCACTGCATGCTTCTACACTGCCCTGATCACGGCAACTCGCCCCGCAATTCTCTACACTGCATGGGTTGGAGGGTTTCTGGCTGCTTGAGTTCAGTTGGTAGCGCAGGGCACGGCAACTGCATTGCGTTGCTCTGTTTTGCTTGTGTCGAAAAGCTTCTCGGCGTTCTGCAGCGCAGTGGCATGCATCGCAGTTTCAATGCAATCGTGCATCTTCCACAAACGCTGCTTGCATTAAAGGGCTCGTACTTCTGTTCAATGAACTGCGCCTGACGTTTGGTCAAACGGCCATGTACTCGCCGTCGCAGACCCGTTCCCGCCTCGTCGCCGCCCGTCGTCTGTGCCTGATTGTTGATCAGGCGGCTATGTCCTCGCCGTCGCCGCCCCTGCGCCGCCTTGTCACCGCCATAGATTACCTAGCGTAGCTCGCACCGCAAATACTGCCCCGCAGAGATCGTACCGCATAGACTGCACAACATAAATACTCCCGACAAAAAAATATTCGCATCGACCTCCTCCCGCCGGCCTTACCCGTTCCCTTTCTCGTATTGCAATTTAGAGCGCCCACCGTCCATCTTAAATCAGAACCCGTACCATCCGAAGCAGGCCAACACCCCCCTTTTCATCCTCTGGAACACATACTATGCCCACGCACTCGTTTAACACAAATCAGCAATTTCCACGGAACCTTTGCGAACAACGGGGCGGCATGCACACGCGCGCGCGCCGTCGCGCGCGCATGCCGAAATCCTTCAACAACTCTAAATGTCGTAGAACATTTGAAAACCGAGTGTTCCGGAAACGTATGCAAACACACAGCTTCGCAACAACGACCTGTTTAAAGCATGCGCTCGCGCTCTCCCAGATTCTTCAGACAACCAACGACTGTTCAACATGTACCTCACATGCAACCAAAAGTGTTTTTTCGCCAGCGCATGTCGAATCGCTCGAACGCCCTTGCGCGCGTGCTATCGTAAGAATCCGTTGCAAAACATGGGGCGAAGTGCGCGCGCGACGTCGCGCATTGATGCGGAGATCCCTCACATTCTGTGGGTGTCGTGAAGGCTTCCGAACCGAATGCCCCGACAAACGTGCAGAACCACATGGTTTTACAACATCAATGCCCCGCGTTCGCGCCCACGCGATTTGTTCAAATTGTTTTCATGTTGTCAATACATTCGACCAAACGGACGTCCCGCGCCGCATGTCGGAATCATTCGATCGCTTTTGCGCGCGTGCTAGGGGGGGGGCGCGACCCGTGTCAACCAATACAATGCGGACCACTGTCACGCGTCGGCCGCGCGAACATGTCGAACCCACTCCAAAGCCTTCATCACCGACGCATGGATGCCGTCACCGTCGCCGGCGTGTTTAACACTGGCGCCATCATTGGACTTGCCGTCGTTGTTGGTATCATCGTCGCCCGCATCGCTACTACCGTCATCGTGTCTACCTCTGTCGACACTTCCATGATACAGTGCCTGCCCAAGTCGCCGACTCGCAATGAAAAGCCCCCTGGGGAAACCCAGCGGGCAGCGCCACCGTGGCCGCGTCGGTCGCGCCAAACTAGCTGGCCGCTCCGCGCGCGAGCATGCGCGGTTGCAGGGATGCACGAACCAACGCCAAATACTCATCGCAATCGCCGCCGCATGGGTTTCGCAAGCCTAGTTGCGGGTGGGTGGGTGGGATCGCTGCGCGAACGGTGGAGTTGACAGCAACTGCGAACATGAAGTCACTCCTCCTTAGAACAACGATAGATCCGACGCCTCTCCCGTAACCAGATGTAACGGTCGCCACTCGCGATCCGTATTTTGCATGTGGTTCGGACCCCTTGTCCATGCTTACACATGGACTCATACAATCCCAGCCCCGCTGGTATCAACACCCCCCGACAACCTCTGCAACGAACGTAGTGATCCCTTGCAAAAGCTTGGCGAACAGCGCACGCGCGCGTCGTCGCGCGCGCATGCAAAAATCTCTCAAACGTCTCAAGTGTCGTAGAAATCTCAAAATCGAGCGTCACGAAAACAAATGAACAAACAAACGGTTTTGCAACGAGCATTTGTTGCAAACCAGAAATGTGTGCGCCCGCGCGTGTGTGAATTCTTAAGAAAACCATCTGGCTTCAACATGTGCTTACCATGCTTCCATTAGCATCTCGCGTGCGCGTGTCGAAATCGCGTGGTGTCGCAAAAACCCTTTGCAACAAACGGGGCAAAACCCTCACGTGCGCGTCGTCGCGCGCGCATGTCGTAATCCTTGAGGAACCTTCGGTTGCGTGAGGGTTTCAACATCGAACGCCCCGAAAACATGCGCAAACCATAGGGTGTTGCAACAACGGTGTTCACAGAATGTGTGGCTCGCGCTCTTGCGGGTGTTATGAAAAGTGAAGAAAGGCGCGCTCATCGCAGTCTGCCACGCAGGCCTCTCGCGCCGCATGTCAAGCTCATTCGAATGCACTTGCGCGCGTGCTGGGTGCGTGGGTGGGGGGCGCGATCCATGTCGAATCACACCATGCGGGTCAATCGCGAGCGTCGGCCGCGCACGCATGTCGAACTTTTTCAAAAACATTCTTCGTCGATCCGAATACATCGTTATCTTCATCGGCGGATGTGATCAAGATTAACGCCGTCCGTCCTTGACTTTGCCGTCGTCAT